CTAATATATACAACAGTTGTATATGCGGAATATCCAGTGTGTTTGGGTTTCATTTAGGCCAATCATATTAATTTGTAACATGTCGACACAACACAACTTGAGGCATTAAAAATATAAGTTTTAGAACATTTTACTAATAGATCTGAAAAACACATTATACTTATTAGATCATCTGATAATTAAGACAGCAAGGTGTAAGTTAGAAATACCACCACAATAACACATTAAAGTAGTTGCGTAGAAACACATTAACTTGTTTATTTGAAAGGTATGTGTATCTGTATATATCATAGTTTTAATTCCCACTTCCTTGACTGTACATGTGACGATGGACTCATGGAAATTTCCACGAAAACACAACTAATAGTCCTAAGTCATGCATGCCTATAAGTAATATCCGCCCATGTGCAACACGGACATGACACAGTTGTACATTTCATCTTATAAATCTACTTTATTCTTCACATTCTCAGTCGTATACACAGTGACATTACGATACGCCCTTGTATATTTCACAGTCATGTATATTTCATAGCCGTGCCAAACACAGGAATCTCAAGCATATCTATGTTTATTTCATACGTGTCAGTTTCGTGTACATTTCCTTGTTGTAATTCGTTCTTCTGCTGTCCTGTTCTCCAATCAGTGAGGGGCATGCTGCACCAGTGTTTATATCACACGTTGGCTAACTGTATTTGTAACACTGAGAGTAATATCGATCTATAGCATGTCCGTATCACAAATACACTCATTACGTAAAGGAAGTATTAACATCTCGCCCATGTTGATTTCATGTACATATCAAATAGACTGATGCCGTATGGACACTCCGATAACGTTAATGTATCTGATTACCACGGGACATTAGCACTGTGATCTATTCACACCACGTCGACGCAACACCATGACAAGTGATGTACGCTTAACATTACACAACATACATATTTACATAGCCTTTCCTGACCAAGTACACGCACTATACACGTCGTATCCACGCACCGTGACGGCGATGGGAATTATTCCTTATATCTAACGCGTTCTCGGGTCATCTTGTAAACGGTCAAGATGGCCCTCCAGCTATGAATTATTTACAGAGGCTCGGGAAGCACGACGCAGGGGTGGGGGTGGGGGTGGGGAGGGTGTAAGATTATACATGAAGCACAGTGGGGACACCACCCCTACCTCGATGCATGGTGTGCCTCCTCCCTAATAGACCTTGCAGTCTTTGAGGAAATCACGGGGGACATATTATAGGTGGTGCAGCGACAGCGTTGTATCTTTTAAAGACTGTTTAAATCTACGCATAACATTTATTTAATTTGGCGACAAATCGTTTGATGTTCTTAAACGTCAAATTAGTCTCTGTTTGAAAATAAGACGCTACTTTCTTACACATTCAAAACTACTTCTTTATTTTGGAAGAATTGTTATTTTGAGGAAATTCAAACAAGCGAAAATGTAACGTTAGATAAGAAATAGTTATAGCTTTTTTTAAACGTTACATCTTTGAAGCCAAACCACAATCTCAAACAAAAAACACACCGTTTGACGGTTTCCATTTTGGAATTTTGAATGGAAGCTAATAGATTGGTAGCTGTCAATAATTATGTCAAACCAAGTCATGTGAAGCGGTTTTCAGTTCGGTTCATTCTGAATTTCTTTTTCGAAACATATTTCAATCAATATGACAACTGTAACTAGTTGACGCCAGGCACACCTTCTCTGTCAGTCTCGCCATCAAAGCTTTGAATAAATACAGAAAATCGATAGAAATTTGTAAAGATATTGTACAATGCAAGTTGGTTTTCACCCATCTGAAGCACGTATTTATGTACATGACAATGTAAACATTATGTATTCTGATGGATAACTAGGTAAACAAAACCACGTGGTGGCACCAACTTGACCTTGGAGCAACTTCCGGTCGCACATGACAACGAGTTTTTGTATGGGATTCACAGGGAACAGTAGAGTGCGAAATATATAAAACTATCTGCTTGAACGGCGAACCAAGTGCATTTCGCTTAAACCTCGCTCACCCAAATCTCCACTTCTTTTAAGTTCTTGAAAGATACTTAAGTCTCTCAACTGCTCGTAAATACGTGAAAGTTACGAATAGTGTACGGTGTAAACGACTGACCCAGTTTCGTAATGACGGGATGGGGAAACAGACTGATGATATTTGGGACGCGTATAAACGAATGTGTTGTGCATTTTCCTTCAACTGGGTATAGACATTGTCGTTACTGACCTATGACGTGTACATTTTCAAAATAAGATGGAAAACAGGGTGGATGGAACTAGATGGGTGGATTTGGTTCGGTGGGTGGTTTAGGTGAATGGAAGGACGAAGGGCGAAACTATATGTGCCTCCCTTCAGATAACTTTGACATACAATGCCCTAAAATAAGATGCTGTACACATCACATATTGCTCAATAAACACGTCTTAACATTAATCCAGGATTTCCGTGTATTTCTGCAGACTGTCTGTCGTTGTATTTATGGCTGTGCTATGTATACTTGACTGATGATTCGTGATCTATGTCTTTATACAGATGTATGACCTGTCAATCTAACACTACAACCTTAGATACAAGCACATCGGAATATGTATAACTTACATAGTTTCATGAAATATATGAGTGACGACTAGTCAGGCGATGTTGATAGCATGAGATGCATAAGTCAAACCCGAGACAAGACTGTCCGTCAGGAAATGACGAACTCAAAAAGATAAAACAAAACACAAAATATTCTCTAGGATCCATAAACACATTCCTGCTTTGAAAAACAGTGTAATTTACACATATTTACACATATGCTGATGCGTGAAATGTAAATGATGTCAATTACATGAAATCTACATTTGTCGATTTCATTAGATGTATCCACACCGGTCATGCCCACAGTTCAAATACCATGTAAATATTCAATATTGATTATTTTTCTGTGTTATTGTAACTCTGAAATGCAATTAATAAGATCCCGTTAAGTTGTTAACATTAATCCAGGATTTCCGTGTATTTCTGCAGACTGTCTGTCGTTGTATTTATGGCTGTGCTATGTATACTTGACTGATGATTCGTGATCTATGTCTTTATACAGATGTATGACCTGTCAATCTAACACTACAACCTTAGATACAAGCACATCGGAATATGTATAACTTACATAGTTTCATGAAATATATGAGTGACGACTAGTCAGGCGATGTTGATAGCATGAGATGCATAAGTCAAACCCCAGACAAGACTGTCCGTCAGGAAATGACGAACTCAAAAAGATAAAACAAAACACAAAATATTCTCTAGGATCCATAAACACATTCCTGCTTTGAAAAACAGTGTAATTTACACATATTTACACATATGCTGATGCGTGAAATGTAAATGATGTCAATTACATGAAATCTACATTTGTCGATTTCATTAGATGTATCCACACCGGTCATGCCCACAGTTCAAATACCATGTAAATATTCAATATTGATTATTTTTCTGTGTTATTGTAACTCTGAAATGCAATTAATAAGATCCCGTTAAGTTGTCATGTTTGGGTTCACGTAGTGCCTTAAGGGGTGTCTTAGTTTGCGATAAGTAACATTCTGCTAAAGGGCATATAGCAAGTGTTGTGCGTTGTCAGTTTCCTAAAGACTACTTACACCAGGCAGCGAGGCTTTACGTACAGTCTGTCGCATCACGCCTCGCTGGGATATTTATCATTACGCCATGTGAATCAAACCGTGGCCACTCCGGAAAAACGATGCCTAAATGAGTCAAACAAGGTGTGATCTCGATGTTTAGGGTCACAGGTACATATTTCTTGTCCAAACATAAATGGTGTTGATATGAAATCAGCCTGCCTATCCCTGAATTGATATCTGCATTTTATGAAATAAACAGGACGTGGATATTTAAAAAGGGTATTAAAACAACGTCAAATGTCACCTTGAAATATTACTCATAATTTTGGGACTACATGTGTGTAATATTTTGTGAATTTGTCAGTGAACGAAGTTTAGATGGTTCTGTTCTTCTCCTGTTTCTCCAATAACTGACAAATGTTTCATTACACGTTTACACGGTAAGATTGAGGTGTATTATCTGATGATAAGGCATTATTTAGAAATCATTTTATTCACATAATTAAAAAAGATACATGAAACAAAGTATCTATATACTACCATATGCAGAAACGATTAAATAAGTTAAAATAACTATATTTATTAATCAATAAGTCTGTATTTGATTGACATTGAAGGGTTAAAATTAAAAAATACAGAAGGAAGAAAATAATTTAATTAGTTAAGTATTTCATTTGGTAATTGAATACATTCATACTTTTTAAAATATATTTCGCAGATGTTTATGACAAAGGTGTGGTAATTAAAGTAAGCCGTCTTTCAGACTCGGTGTTTTAAATGCTAAATTCCAAACAACAGAACTGTCACTTTCTAAATATTATTTATTGGGACAGCTAGTATATTTTGTTTACCCAAAATTAAATTACCGAAACAAAAGGACGACCAGCACACCGAGCGATCCTGTCTCTAAAACTCACTGCGTTTTATTGTTATTGCTTGATAATTGTCTAGAGTATTTTTCAAACGTGTGAAAAGTCGCTTACTTTAGTTATTTTAAGTACTTTGCAGGTATAACCTCGATTGCTGTCATTCATATTGACTTAGACATACGCTCAGCCAAGGGTTGTAAAATACCTTACTCTCTCATAGGCTGACAAAGCATAAGCTCTTAGGCAAATAACGTTTTCAATAGGTTCTATTCAACTAATTGAGGGTCTGCGCTAATCGCCCCCGTTTTCGTGTGATGGGATTACAAAGGACCCCCGTTGAAAGGGGCAGAGCTAAAGGGATAAAACACGAACCGCGAGTTAAGCTCGTCACGTCTAGCCAATCAGATCGCACGACACATCTGCTATGGGTATTTAGGTGTTCACTAACTCTTGCTGTCATTCGTCACTTTCTGGACTGTACAAAAGGCCAAGCCCCAAATATCCCGAGCTACAGGCAGTAGTTTGTTATTACTGAACTGCCTCTAGGCTTGTTGAGGCCCAAAATAGTCTCTTTACTACCCAAGTGCAACGTGGATTCGTTTCCAAAGTGTCGTCTGCTAGTGTCAAGACTGCCTACCCGGAGTGATAACTGAAAGCCATTTTGTCGTTGTGTGGATTTACCCTTTATTCTACCAACTAGGAAACGGGACAAATGAGCTCGACTTGGGACTCTAAGTGATGTCCCATCTTAGTACTCTAGGAAACGATACCAGTATATCCCTGTCGGATTCGAAACACAGCGCTTTTGAACGTCTATCACCAACTTACGTTGACAAACGAAGCGAGATGCCTTCAGCTTTCGGTCTTTTGGAGCATGAGGTGGTTAGCAAATTACTCTTTGATCATTTCATTGTCAGAGCCATTTTCGTCATATTTGTAACCGCTGTATGGAAATGCTAGTTTAGCCGTTAACTGAATACACATCATTCAGAATTTGCTTGAATGGGAAAATATTGCTTGGGGCAGGTGTAGCGAACGAGACGCATAGGTGACCGCTTGACAGACGCTGGAATTGTACGTAGGTTATTATACTGTATGTATTGTCGGATGTTGTGAGTGACTTCACCGGGCCTTCAGTTTTGTGGATGCCTCACAGGCATGTTGAGCTCGCCACCATCAGACCAAACCTGCCTCCCATTTTGTCGTCTCCGCTTTCACATACAGCACGCAGCCATATTGCTCTCAGACGAGAATGTTTTTTACACAAATATTGGATTATCATGAATTTTATTCCAATTTTAAACCACGCTTCGCCAGGAGCGTGGATGGATTGAGGTCAGTGGAATGTGATTTTACATGCTCGTGTTGTTATTTTCATAACATGTAACATTGTTTATTTATTTTTTCATATTATATTTCAGGATCGCCGCCCCGACTTATCGGGTCAAGGGGGTCTTGGACAGTTGGTCAGTTCGATCGGAGGATCGGGTTCGTTTTCATCAACGGCACCCCGTCTCTCTCATACCCCCACGACAGATTTCCAGCCCCCCTATTTTCCCCCACCCTACAACCTCCCTCCCCAGCAGCCTGTGGACTTTCACCATCATGCCAATGTTGACCCTTATGCCCATGCTCATCTCAACTCCTTCCACCAAACCCCACAGCACCCCTACAACCAAATTCACAGTGAGCGCAATGTGTTACGACATCGCGACGACAGTCTCCATACCATGCATCCAGGACTTCCAACATACGACACAAGACGGGCCGACTACGGCACTGTCCGAAGACCCGATGTCCTTATGCATGGTCACCACGGGCTAACGTTAGACCAGGACCCTGGCATGTTAAATATACACACAGGATTGCCAGCTCTCGAAGACAGCACTCCGGTAAGATTTTCACATTTTATATTTTAAACAAATTCATTCATTTTCCTCCTTATTTTATTGTTTTTATTTATTTCACCATTTTCTATTGAATAATGGAAATTATTGCAATTTAATATTTAACATCACATTACATTTCCGTTGCATTTGGTGTCATTACACATATTTTTTTCTTTAGTGAATTCATTTCTATTGTTGAGATCTGGAATAAGTGTTTCTATATTAGGTGGTTTTATGTGGATGTAAATATTTGATAACTTCGTTGTTGTTTTCCGTTTCTTTTTTATAATTTACTTTTGAAGTATGGGTGTGATAAGAACATACGGAATTCTGTATTCATGTTCTGGTAATATTTACACTGTTGGTGTTATTGCAGATTTAATATCCCTCAACCAATTTGTCTAAATATGTACAGAAAAGTAAACAGGGGCGCCTACCAAGTGTGTGCTTTACAAAATGTCTAAATTCTACAAAATTGATTAAATTTGCATCTGACGAAAGGAAAATTTAACAGCATCAGAAAAAGCATTTATTTTATATCAAATCTTAAAATCCAATTCAACATCCTGAAAACATGTAATCTATTTTAGAAATAACGTGAATACTCGATTATAATAAATAATAAATCCTCCGCTAAGTTAAACACTTATAACTCAGTTACGGTGGTTCGAGTAAATATATTCAATGTTTTCATAGCGATAGATAAAATGTTTTTCTTTCGATTTTCTAAAGACATCTACGGAATCTGGAGCAATCTTAATATAGAGTATACTGCATTGTTTCTTAGCCAAACATGTCAAACGGTCAATCCCATCCAAAGCCAGATTGAGCATTTCTAAACCAACGTAGCTTGTGTTTACATTCGTTCGTACCATCTTTTACTGAGAAAACACGGGCACATTTTGATGTCACGCATTCCTGAGTTTTACTAAACTTTCTCATGATCAACCATGGTCTCGCTATAATCGTCCATGCGTGTCCTCGCTTTTAGAGCCTTCGAGACGAGTACTCGTTTTTCCTAAAGAGGGGAAGAAATAGATTTTAGTGATTACGAAAACCATTCAGGTTGCCACCCAGCAAATTGAGGAAGCCGCGAAAATCTGCGATCCCTATTGTAACCAGTAAGCTGTCATGCATTCTTCCTTGTCATCTTGAAAAGCTGACAAGAACCCCTTATGCGTATGGTGCTTTTTATTAAAGGAGGGTAATTTACTGGGTAAAGTATCTCTGAAATATAATATCGCATATCGCGAGATTCTGGAAAATATGTTCAAAATTATATTATCAACTTTCCCTTACCAAGGCCTGGCTATGTGAAGAAATAGTATTTGATGGAAAGAAAATATTGTGTTTGAGGTTATTCTGAAATTTAAGAACATTCCCCAATTCCAGTAATAATCATATGTGTTGTATACTTTCTATATTATAACAATTTCAGATGTTTTTATATGAAGCGGAATTTATTCATTGTCAAATGTGTGATCATTGTCAAAGAATGCATTATTAAATATGTTAATGTTATACAAATACACCACCTTGGATGGTCAAGAAAATATCGAAATAAGCAAACACATTAAAAATAGAAGAGAGAAAAAATAATCATTTGTGTAGGAATACCGTGTTTTATTAAACTGAGACGTGTGTAAAACGGAGCTTCGAGAACTAAACAAATAACGTAAATGAAATGCAAGACTCCGAGCAATTAGCAAAGATCCCCAGATGCTCTGCTGTCAAAGCCTTGCTTCATCAGAGTAGACTTGGGGTAGAAGGGGAGGATTTATTTCTACCAGGAGAGGGCTGGGCTTCCCCGGGGGAGACACGGAGAGCATGCGGGGGTAGTTGGTGGGGAGGGGAGGTCAAGAAAGCTTGCTCAGAACTCAGCCGTACGCTTGTTTCCTGTTTTGAATTACTGCGAATGACATGTGAAGATAATCTAATGTTAAATTCGTCTCATTTCTAAGCCTGCCTCCGCCCTGCAGTTTTTATCTCTCACGGAATGACTTCTTGTCTCCGACTTAACATGATGTTGTGTGACAATTATTCTATTTGGCAAATATTGTAATATTGTGGGGCCTAATTTGCAGTAATTCCTCTGCTAAAACCAGCAGTTTGAGCAAGGATTGACGACTTGTCAGAGGATTTCAAAGACAATCCTTTGTCATAAAGCTTTCCAAATACATTATTCTAGCTGTTTGGCTTGCTACGATAAAATTATGATGTTTTCAGTGAACAAAATACGTCATTTTCCTAGGTATCTGTTGTAATTTTTTTGTTCAGTTTTAGCAGATTGTCTTAAAGGAGGTTGCCATTATTTAAATTTAAGTTTCTAATTATTTTTGCTTGGATAATGTTATTAATTTCTACAAAAGATTACAACCTTTGCAGTTTACACATGACTGAGTACTTGCTTCGCTCAGCATTAGAGGGGTATCAAATATCGCGTATTTCAATTATGCAAATATTGTGACTTGTCGAATAAATATGGGGGTCTTTGAGGTGACAATTATCAACTTACAAACACGTGTGGCGTGTTTTAAGTATATTTTCATACGTGTCCAACGCACCCGACAAGACCCATTTTACATCACTTTACCTAAACTTCAGTTGGGGTTAGACAGGGGGCGCTCCCTGATCCTTTATTATCAATACAAACAACCCGGCTTTCTGTGTGTGGCACCTTGTATGGTATACACATAGCGGTTGCGTTGCGTCATAGGTTTGTAATACACGATAATTGCAACCAGTATTGGAAATCCTTCCATGCCAGTGGACACTTTGAGTGACCACCAGGAATCGGAATTGGCCGGAATTTGTAAAGGATGGGAAAACAAACAAAGCGAGAACTCAATGAAAACAGGGCCATTGTAATACAGACCACATTTAGCCAGGTTGTGGAATTATTTCATTTGGTTTTGTTGAAACTGTTGAAATAATATTAGTTGATATATCTGAAATTTTCATGAAACAAACGCCTATCCACAGCCTTTAACACTATGCATATTCTGACACGACACGTCAACTGCTTGAGAAATGAACATGTTTTCCGAGGTTACAGCGGGGGCACCTGAACTCCTGCCAGCTGTATTCTTGGCATTTGCTTGAAATAATGGCCCAAGGAAGACAACGCACCAACCTATTATTTATCTCGACAACTTTAGTAGTGTGCATGTTATGGGTGTATGAAGGAAAACGACAATATAAGGGTCGTGTTGATTATAATTCAGAAAGAAATATGTAAATGAAATATTACCAACTGACAATGTCATTGTGTGAGGAAAGGTCATTTAAATACTTGGTAAGGAAAAACATTTTATATCAAAATCGTATGATATATGTGACATTTGTTGAAAAATGCTTGGTTTTGTACACTACATCTTCTATTTGTTTTCATCTTTTTCTTTGTCGATTCATAGGGTTAAACAGGAAAATATTAGTCATAACCTTTTGGTTCTGTTTTTCGGGAAATATTGCGTGTCTCCTCAACAAATAAATCACCTCTCAAATTATGTTCTTGATGTATGTGAGAACTCCCGCACTGCACGACAAGACTTAATCTAGGATTTAGAGTATCATGGCGCGACATCAGATTCCCGTTCAATCCAGGGAAAGTCGCTCCTTCTGTACGAATTGGATCACTCCCGATGTCTGCATCAAGTTTTAATTAAGTCCACTATCAACTGAAATGATGTTTCAAACCCTGTATCGATCAGTATTTTAAACGCACATTAAGGATTTCGTATAGTGACTATGATCACTCGCCTGATTGAAATGCCAAAATGGCGGGGGAACAAGGTGCTTGAAGTAGACATTGCACGTGATTTGTTGTCAATGGCAGTCTCGGTCACCCTTGCGTAATTCGTATCGTCTGCTTCGTGAACTGACAACTTGTGCACACGGGCGCTTAGAATGACATTACCATTCACGGGAGTGTAATTTTGGCCGAGGCAAGGGTGCTATTATCCCAAGATTCGAAATTAGATTCCTAAAAGTCAGGATAAATTGGCGCTTTAATGACCGTCCATGCATAGAGATCTTCCAATTAACTGTCCTACCTGGCCGCCATTTTGACTCCTGTCGGGCCCAGACTGTGGGCAGTAGAGTATGGCTGATCCTACACCTGAGTTAAGGCCTGGCTTGTCTTAATGCATTCCATTTGGCTTTATTTGCCGTTACACGACAGGTATTAAACAATTACTAATGTAACGTGGGTGGGCACAGATCGTTATAGGATAGAGGTTGCTTAACGAAGTTTATGAGCATAATCAGAAAATGCTTCCACACAAGAAAAAACAAATTAATAGGCGTTCAGACGGATTTAAGGCATTTATGTCGAAGAGTCTTAGCTTATATGATCCATAATAAACTAATATGAAAATGCGGCATGGTTCTATTTACGTCCAATAACCTCTTTTCCAAAGCCATAGGTTAGAAATGTCACCTAACTCTGCTTCTATAAACCCAGACTTGTTTAAGTTATCCAGACGGACTTCCATTCCGTTGAGTTTTTTTTAACTTAAGATGCTCTTCGGTTTTTACACGATAAATCCCTTGGAAGCGCTAAGATGCATCTCAGATCAAAATGAAAAAAGTCTTATAACGGCAAATATGGTGGTTTTTGTACTGCGTTGCGGCGCTCTGATCTATGTTCACGAAATCGAGAGAGCAATCTGTCTTCTGGAGTCGTCAAGTTGCCATGATTTGGACAAGAACCATCCATCACCCTCGGACAAAACACGGCTAGGACGAGAGTTGTTGGAAGTTTACTAAATACGTGACCTAGATAATATTTGTATCAAGTAATGGTGCGCATGTTTGCTACATGAAACCATTACATCTTCCTTGACCCGAAATATCATTTCTGCTTTAAATATTACTCCCCTAAGGATTCGCTTAATAATTGGCATTCGTAGCAATCATGATCTTATTTCTGGATACATTTAACAGAAAATCTGGATATCGGTAAATAGGTATTGTAACGACTGTGTTACAATGTGAGTTATTAG